TAGAGCAGCTCCCCCGAGGTTAATTGTGCCTTTCTCTAAAAGTAGGGAGAAGTAGTTGCAGGTAGTGTTTGGTATCAGTGGTATTTTTTTCTTGTGTACACACACACACACACGCACACGCACACACACACACGCACACTCATACACTCACACACAGCAGGCTTGGAGAATTAATTTTCTTTTTCCTGTTCTCTCCCTCTTCTCCCTCTCAGAAAGGAAGAGGCTGAACCCCCAAATAGATCCCAGCAAGGCAAGGTGGGCTTGGGTGGGAAGGACAAATCTTGGTAGCAAAGGGGACAGGGCAGAGGCGGAGCTGATCTGTTTTGGATGGTTCCAGGGTATTTGCCATCACACCTCGCACTTCCCTGCCTCTCGGCCTTTGCTCTCAGTGCCTCCCCTGTTATGGTCCTATCAATGCGCCCGGCTCTGCTGGTCCAAGTACCGCCTTTTCAAAAGCTCTCACCCCTCCCTGTCAGTCCACAAGGACTCTCTCCCACTCTGTACTCCTCATGGGCTGTCATGCGCACTTTGGATAAGATTTCCTCCACCTTTTGGTTTGTGGGGCTGGCGAGGGAGCCTCTGTCTGTCTCCCAGCTCTGTTGTGAGTGCCTGAGGAATAGGGCCCATGTTCCCCCAACTTCAAGCCCCTAGTACAGCCACATAGCCTGGCACAAAGAACACTCAAAAAATGACATATCTTTATCTTCATTTCTCTGGATCTGTATATGATAGATATCTAGGTCATATCTATATCATCTATATCCATACCCCTCTGCATAGTAGTTTAGAGCAGTAAAGCTGCCTGGTCCAGCCAAAAGTCCTCGACCTGAACAACAGGAAGCCTGATTTCTGGTTCTGCCTCTACCGCTTACTGGCTTTTTGACACTGGACAGACCATTTAACTTCTCCCGATCTCTGTTTTCTCATGTGGAACAAGGGGAGACAGGAGTTGAACAAGGACAGTGGTTTTCAGACTGGATTCCAAGGAACCCTAAGGTTCCAGAAAGATACAATGGAGAGAGCAAGGCCAGAAGGGAGGAGGCGATGGCCGTTGGATCAGGCCCGTGGGCTGCCAGGGCGGCTCCTCCTTGCTCTGTTTTATCTACTGCAGTTCCACACAAGATTACAGTCTGACCCAGGGTCCCGTTGCTAAAAAAGGAAAAAGAAAACTTTCTAAAATGCTGGCCTCGACGCTGTGACAAGGGCCTTTCCAGCTCAGATAAGCCAGGATTTGTCATCTCTGTCACCCCATAAAATGCCCATGTAATGAGAAAGCAAAAGCAATTCTTTCTTTATGGATTTAGGGCTATCTTTCCTTTTGTTTCTGGAGGCAGTGACCACCTTTCACCTCCCCACCAAGACTAGGGTGCTCCTATAACCTCCCCTTGCCTCGACTTGCTCATGTAGCAAATGAGCACGCTCGAGCACTTCACTCTTAGGGTTTCTAAGGAGACTGGTATTCAGTGCGTGACGAAGGCAAATCCTCCCCAGGACAGAGCATGGAAAGTGTGCTCTGAGTGATGGCTTCGGTGACCCCTGGAGTCCCAGGAGCCTCTCTGGGCGTCACGCCTGGCTCGTGGCTAGGGGTTGCAACCTGAAGGTAAAGATAGCCGTGTGATTAAGAGCCAGTGTGCCGTGAGACATCTAATTAGCCATCGTCTTCCCAGGAGACAGCTCAGTTGTGTAATTGTTATTTCCATATTTTATACACCCTCCATCAACAAAAGAGACCCGGGCCAATCTTTCACCAGCCTCATTGTTTGTTTGCATTCCAGCTATGCCAATGGCCCCCTTCTCGTCTTTCCACGGTTCCCACCCACCAGGGAACTTGCCTGCTGGCAGGCAGGGTAGGGGTGCAGGGACTAACTCTGACATGGGGCTTCAAAGACCCATCTCCAAGGTCAGCACCCTGACAGCAGCTGTGTTGGTTGGGTTTCCTGTCTGGCTCAGGGGAGGGCCAGCGACGGCATCCCCCCATTTACCAGTCTCTTTGTAGGGAAGGTGTGGTGTGGCGTGAAGGACACTGGGCTTGGCATCAAACAGGACCCATCTTTGTCTAGCAATTTCCTTCACCTCTCGGAACCTCGGCTTCCTTCTCGGTTAAACCAGGATCCTAGTACCTTGCATCAGGAGACTGTTGCAAGGCTCTGTCCTTCAACACATACTCACTGGGTTCCCCGGGATGAAATGATGTTCACGGTAGATCTCTGCGATCCGAGAGTGCTGTCTCGATAGGAGTTATTCTCACAATTGCCGTCTGTCCTCGACTATTCAAGGAGGTTTTATCAAGTTTAGATTATCCAGACTCGTTATTATGAGATTATTAGACTGGCCAAGCCCTTCCCACCTGCTGTTGCCTGTCTTGTGGTTTTCATCGTGGTCAGTTCAAAGAGGCGGATTCCTTGGAGCAAGCTCAGGAGGGAGAGACGCACATCCTGAGGTTATTATTAATGGCAATTGTTTCTCTCCCAGTGGGATACACATTCAACCTCTCTCTTACTTGGGCAACTAAGTAAGAAACTATGGGTGCTATAAAAGAAATATAAGCGCAGGTCCCTGACTTCCACAGAATCCATCTAATTGGGAGGGCAGAGATCCTGTAGCAAGCACCATTTTTACGAGCAAAGTACTCTATGGGCAAAGCACTTATCCTCCTATGCTTCTCATCTGAATCTTTTAAGTGGAAGTTATTAGTCCCACTTCACGTACAAGAAAACTGAGGCCACGTAGCTGGTAAGTGGTGCAGCCTGAGTTTGCTGCCTGCCTTTGGCACTGCGCTGAGATTGTCTGCCCTGTGTCCATCTCCCCCTGCAGACACTGAGCTCCTCTGGGCAGGAGCCCTCTCTTCTCATCAGAGTGCCTGGCAGATGCTGACCACTGAGATAGCTCATTCTGGGGCCCAGACTCCTCCCAGTCTCTCCCCACTCCCCTCCCCTCCTAGTCACATCCCAGAAGGACTTCTGCCTTCCCGATCTGCCTGCCAGCAAGTAATTCAGGGGCCTCTGCTCAGCTGCCAGGCTGTTGAGGCAAGCGAAGACTTGACTGGGGCCCGGGGCTCCTGGCCCAGCTCCTGGATCTATCCTCCCAGACAGAGGGGGAGGTCCCTGGCACGCAGGATGCTGGGCCCTTACCTGCCAGCAGGGCCGGGGGCTGCTCAGCCCGCCAAGAGGCTGCGCCATTCACAGCGGCCAGTGGAGACAGAGCGAGCCCAGGAGGGCCTGGTCAGCGGTTGCCTGGGGGTTGAGAAATGTGCTGGCTCCAGTCTGGCTCCTTCATCTGAGAAACAGGGGAACCTGACCCAACAGCCCAGTGTTTGTTTCTGCAATGTCTGGAACAGCCATACACACCAGGCCGGCCTGACAGAGCCTGCGCCTGGGGAAAAGTGCCCTGTTTCTTTACTCTCTCCTTCGGCCCATGTTCAACAGCCTGGGACCAGGGAAGCCTTCTGAGTGTTTTGCTCGGACCAGGACTGATGTGCCGGCCTCATATCTGTGCAGGGCCCAGGCCCTGGGTGTCCTAGAGAAACTAGGCATGTCTGGCTTCTGCCTTTGTCCGCAGAGATGCACTGGGAGGTGCTCCTGCTCAGAAGACAGCAGGCCTGGCTTGGATTCCAGCTGACACTTACCAGCTGTGTGGCCTTGGGCAAGTCACATAACTTCTTTGAGCCTGCTTCTTTACTTGCCAGATGGGGATAATAACAGCAGACTTACAGGGTTGTTGTGAGGACAGACACACTGAAATGATACGTTTAAATTGCCTGGCACATAGTAGATGCTTAATAAAGGTACACTCCTTTCTCTTTGCCCACCACGCCAAGGCTTCCTGACTTTCTCTTGCCTCTCACCTGTGTCCACAACATGCAGAGAACACAGAGCTTGGGCTTCTACACCAACCATGGTCCAGCAAGTTTGCTATGTAGGCTTCCCCGCCGTCTGGGCTACTGCAACTCATTGCACCCACGTTGTCCTCAACACACACAAGTGAGGGAGGTGGCATTGTGTGAATGCATAGGTTCTTACCAAGAAACAGCCCACTCACAAATCTATGTATTAACCTACTCCATCCATCTATCCATTCATTCATCAAACATTTACTCACTTCTACCCTGTGAAGGGACCCCAGGAACGCAGACATGAACAAGACACAGTCCCTGCCCAGAATCTAGTTATTGGAGTAGATGCACAAGTGAAGAGATAAGAGTCCATGGGTGAGGTACATTGGTAGAAGAAAAGTACAGAATTATGGGCTACTTCAGAGATGAGGCTCCTAACTCACCCTGGAGAACCAAGGTAGGCTTCCCAGAAGAGGTGAGGCCAGGGCATTAAGGGACAATTAGGTATTTTCTAGGCAGAAAATAAAGAGAAAGATGTTGTAGGGAGAGAGCGCACATACACAAAGGCCTATGGGCTAAGAGAACATGCGCATGTATTAGTTAGAATTTGCCAAGTACCATACAAATGTCCCCAAGTGTCAGTGACGTCACACAATAGAACTTTGTTTCTTGCTGTTGCGAAAGATCCAGCACTGGTGTTCCCAGCTGGGTGGTTCTAGATATTCTCTTCCATACAATGATTCAGGGACCCAGGCACCTTCTATTTATGACTCTGCCATCCTTTAGAGCCTCAGAACCCATCACTGCTAGCCATGGCCCCAGGAGGAAGATGAAGTTGCCTTTTAGTGAGTACAGAGTAGTATCTCCATCAACCTGTGTGAAAAATTTGCAAGAGTTGGGGAAAGTTGGAACAAGTTATGCAACGAAGTGGCAAGAGATAACGGTTGTACTGGGAGGCAAGACCAGAGCGTGCAGGTGAGATATGCCAAGCTAAGGGGTCCGGATTTAATCCTGAGCCTAGTGCAGAGTCATCAGAAATGTTTAAGGAGGGGAGTGACATGATCAGATTTGCTTTTTAGACTAATTACTCCAGCTGCAGTGTGGAGGAGAGAGACGGGGGGCAGTGGAACTGGTGAGAAAGGTAGTTTGGTGATCCAGGCCATCTTACCTTAGGGATAGCAGGCAGGTGGGTGTTGGCAGGAAGCCTGGGGATCAGAAGGCATCCTGAGAGGCAGTCTGGGTCATCGATTGGCATCTGCATCACTGCAAAGCTTCAAATAGCTTTTGGGTCCATGTCTAGTTCAATGGCTCATTGAACCTCATGCTCATGAAATTATAGTCAATACAGGACAGCTTGTTTGAGTGCTGTTTCCACCAGCCTGGATCGCATCTATTAGGGATGTGGTCAATAGATGTGGACAACACATATGCTAGCTTTTGAAGGAATCAAACATGTTTGTGTTGTTTTTCTGAACATCTGCGTCTTTCTATCTGGGTCAGGCTCTGTTCTCCAGGCCAGTTTCTCAATACCTCTGTCTCCCTCGAGAGAAGCAAGGACTTGCCCCTGAGGATCAGTGGGAAGAGGGAGATTTGCTTGCCCTTGGAAAGGGGCTCTGGATCCATGGCTCTCTGTTCTCCAGAAGGCCCCCTGTAACTCAGGGGCACATCACCGAGAAGGGGCCCTGTTGCCCACAATTCTTGAGCCCAGGAGGCTGCCTGTTTGCTTCACGCTGGGAAAAAGAAGAGATCCAAGTCCCTGTAAGCAGTTCTTTTCTTGAAGTCTTTGAGCCTTTCACTTACTATGAAGGATGCTGGAATTTCAGGTTGTCCCACACCTTCCGGATTAAGATACAAGACCTGGTCGGTCCAGATCCATGTGGTATAGACCCATACCCTGTGAAATGCGACAATGAATTTGCTCTTGAAAAAAGGGAGCTTTGGCACTGGAAGTTGAAAATATTCAAATGGGCCAAATATAGTCCCAGCACAGCTCATCCGTTCCCAGATAAGGCTTCTTTGAGGTAGCAGGTGAAAGGACTTCCAAGCCTCCCTGTTTCTGTCCATCTAGGAGTTGGGGTTTGGTCTCCTGGCTACATGAAGGGCCATGACTTCTAGCCTCTGTGTTCCCTGGCTACCGGCCTTGCGTCTGCCTTCAGTCTCTGCATTAGTCCCAGCTTACCTCTGTGCTCATGACCCCTGACACTGTTCCCTTTCCCAACCCAGCCTGCCAGAGCTGACACATGTAAGGTGATCGGGGGCCCTTTGTAACTAGTGGGGGTTTTGTTCTCTTCATTTCCAGGAGACTTCGTAGGCTAGACTAGCGAATTGGCTTTTATTTCAGTTACAGATTTCTGATGAAATAAGCATAGCTATTATTTACTGAACATTCTATACCTGTTATTTTATGAAGTCCTCACAGTAATCCTGAGGATACATATTGTTACCCACTTGTAAGGGACACTTATAGGATTGTGTGCTTTAAGCCCCCTTTTGCAGGAGCCCCTTCTATAAATCTGTACGGTTTCAGCAGGAGCTACCCGGTTTCTGTGGGATCCCCACCCTTGGGCCCACATGAGTGATCTCAGGGTGAGCCAATTGTTTCCTTCCCTGAGAAGTTTGGTACTAGGACTGAAAGAAGGAGATCAGTTTCTCTCTCAGTGTCTGAACAGTAATGAGTAAAACACAGGGAACTTCAATAGCCATGCTTTCTATCATATGAACCAAAAAAACAAGCCTTGGGCTTGAGAAAGCAGAACTTTCTGGAAGCAATAATGTGGTAGAGTAAGATAGATGTGGTGGAGTGAGACAGACCAGGCTTTGAAGCCTGTCTTTGCCAGTTACTAACCATGTGGTTTGGACCAATGACACTAATCCTACTATTATCTAATACTTATTGAGTCCTTGCTACGTACCAGGCATTGTTCCAAATGCCTTGTATGCAGACTTACATACACTGTACATGTGTCCTCACAACAACGTAAGGTGGTTTCTATTTTCATCCCGCAAGGACACTTTACCCACGAGGACACAAAGGCCCAGCATAGTTATCAATGTGGCTGAATGTACAGAGGTGATTGATTGCATCTCTTGAGCCTTAACCTACCCCTCTGGAAATAGAGAGAGAGTCCTGGCCCTTGCGCAGAAAAGACCTAACATTAGCAGGCGGAGACTGCCATCCGTACAAAGTTGGCCCTTATCTGGTGGATTTCTGGAGGGCTCCCGCTATTCCTTGATAAGGGAAGGGTGGCTCACCACGCCTAAAACGTTTGTGCAAACAACATGGCTTTTGCTTGAGGACCCCTGACACATCTCTACTTCGGTTCTGTTGCATGAAGGAGAGGATGAAGTAGATTCACTGCTTTGGAGGGGGTTTGGCCTCCAGCAGCGCGTATGGAACAGACCCTCTGTGGGTGGCCCCACAGGGAGAGCATAGGCCGCAGAGCAGAGGCCCCTGGGGCCCTTCCACTGCCATCACCATGACTATTTTTACTCCTCTGATAATTGTACTTTAGGACTGGCATCCTATGTAGAATGGCAAAATATTTCTAGATATTTTATCCACAAAGGAAGTATTTATTTCAAGAGGTTTTCCGGTTTTTAATAAGGTTGTGCATGGGGAGGACACTTTCCATTGCTGTATTTTTAGGTTGCTTCTCTGGGAAACTGAGTGCCACAGGCCCGCTGATGTCAACGTAGCAGAAAGAAACCCATTGCTGATAGAGGCCTTCATGGTCTCCTACTTCCTTCTCAGAGAAAGAGATTTTCTGGATGCCTCACAGGTGGCCATGGCAGAGTGAGACCCAGCTGCAGAGCTGGGCACCGTATTCCCCCCACTGCTGCCCATCTCTACCTGTCCAGCGGAACCAGGGGACCCAACCCTGACCAACCAGCCTTGTGTGTGCTCAGGAAGGTGGAGTAGGAAGTGGGGAAACGTGGAGGAAGGGCCCAACCATGGGATCCCCTCCTAGGAACGGGCAACAGAGTGTAGACATTCAATTCCATCTAAGACCTTATCTGAATTCAGCAGGGCTGAGAGGAAGGAGGAAAGGTGACTAAAGGCCTCCTGCTTGTTCATCAAAATCAGTGTGTATATGTAAATGAAGCCAGGTTTAGAAGTGCCGACAAAAATGACAGAACCCACTAAGCAGGTTATTGAATTAAAAAACACCATTTGGGCTTTAAAAAATCTAAGTGGTTCAGAGCAAAGTGGGACTTGGAGCTGAAGTTACCCATTTAACAAATTCCATCTCATAACTCGGTCATCTGGAATGGTATTTCCTGAAGCGGAGCTATTAATAGTAGGTGTTCTGGGAAGAAAGGTTGCTTTGGTCAATAAGTTTAGGTAATGTACTAGTCAACAAAGTTGAGTGGGTATCTTTACTGCAGGACTTGTCAGAGCCTGTGCACATGCATTGTGAAACTCCAAGAGAAGACTGTGGTATAGTATTATAATACACACACACACACACGTATTATCTAAGTATCTGTAGTGTGTGTGTATATATATAAATACAAGTAACATATATATAATACTGTACTTTATAATACACAGCATTGCCCAGACCTACTCACCTGAGGATCTCTTGTTATGCAGCACCTTAAGGGACCATCATTTCAGGGCCTACTCTGGGAAACAGAGTTTTAGATGGTGTTACCCTGTCCCCTAGGCCTAAGAGAACAGAGAGAGGCTTTAGCCAGCCCCGTTTTCTGAGCCAAGTGGCTGGGTTGTGAGCTAAGGGATACCAATATAGGGCTCAAGAAAGATGACATATTGGCTTTTGGTCCTTTGGGGATTCTCTAAACCTGGTTGTGTTGAAGTCCAAGACCCACACCCAGGTGTTCTCCCTGTGGAGGGACATTGTGGCACTGACAGGGGTTCAGCACACTCAAGGGACGGCTCTCCTGGGATCACTGCTGTCTATCAGGCCGTGGGTAGATGGGCCCTGTAGCTCGTCTGCTCACCATCCCAAACAAGCAGGTGCTGATGACCTCCTGGTGGGCCAGGGGTCCCTTTAAAGTCTGGGTGACGAGGGATCTCAAAGGTCTGGCCCAGCCCTGGGATGTCTGAGTGCAGGTGGTTTGACTTTGTAAGGTGGACTGATGATAGCTTTCTCCAGTCCCCTTCCCTGTGACATTCAACCCATCAGCAAGCCGCTCACGTCTACCTACAAATGAATCTCAAATCCACCCTTCTTGGGCCACCTCTCCTGCCATGAGGCTAGTCCAGGTGACCATCATCGTTTGTCTGGAGTATTGCAGCGACCTCTTAGCTGGTCTCTCTGCTTCTACTCTCGCTCTCTTCTAACCTGTTCCGCACAGCGATCAGGGAGTTAAGCCTCTTGGCAGAAGGACACACTCCTCACCGTGACCCGCAAAGCCCTCGCTGAGCAGACACAGCGGGCTTCCAGCCCCTGCCAGCATGTACACTCACGGCGTGAAACACAGCTCCCTCTGCTCCTCACAGGGCGGGTTCTTCTCACCCTTCAGGTGTGGGCTCAGATGTCACCTCCTCAAAGAGGCTTCTGTGGTCACCCTCTCTAGAGGAACACAGCCTTCCATCCCCAAGCATGTACTTACTCTCTCTGTTTTTCAGAGCACTTGGTCTGTTTCCTTCCTAGCACTTACAAAGATCCGAAATATCACAGTTTTGTTTACATATGACCTGACCTGTCTCCCCCATCCATCCCCCCAGTATCCATCTAAAATGTAAGCGTCCCAGGGGCAGTTGTTTGTGCTGTATTCTCAGAGAAAACAGTATGTGGCAAATAGAAGGTGCTCACCAATACTGGTTGAATGAATGAATCAACGAATGACCACTTTATGTGTGTTGGGGGACAGAAGTGGTGGTGGGGACAGGGGTTGTCTCAGTTGCAGACCTCGGGTGCTGTGCAGAGGCCACTCGGAACACCCCGGAGTCCCCGAGGTCTCCACTTTCCCACAATGGGCTGCACCCCTGGGGGTGGCTCTCCCGTTCCCACCATCCCCCTTCCAGTGTAAGCCAGCCCCACCCAGCAACACTCCCAGGAGCGGGCCGGTCAGTGAAAGTTCTGGACTGTTTCATCAGACGAGCACTGAGAGGCAGAGCCCTTTCCTCAGCATGAGAATTGTTCAGCACAGGGTTAGGAAATCTTCCTTCCTGGAGGGCTTTATAAGCAGAGAGATTCTCATCCTTCTGGGGCTGTGTGGGGCAGACTTCCGTCTGGAGATGGTGAGTGAGAGAAGCTAGGCACTTAGATGACCTCAGGAGTCAGGAATCGGCGGTGGCTCGACTCTTGTCGGACCTGGAGTTGCACTGCTGGGTTCTCCCTGACTCCTAATTGATCGCTCTGACTGCTTCCTCTCCACCTGGGCTCTGGATGCGCCAAGGCGCTGTGCACTGGGTTGACGGCTTTGATTAAGCAGCTTTGATCTCTGTGGAGCATCTCGGAATAATATCTTTGCTCTCAGCATCTGCGCCAATTCCCAAAATAGTTTAGCCCAGCCAAGCAGGAGGGGGGCTGGATTGCAAAGTGTATTATATGAGAGATTTAAAAAGAAAAGGCAGCTGCAAGCAGTCAGGGGTGTGTGTGTGTGTGTGTGAGTGTGTGTGTGTGTGTGTGTGTTAACGTGGGCACCCAAGGCCCCCGGAAGATGATTACCATGCTACCCTTGTGCACCAGCCCTGTGTTCCCAGTGGCTGCCCGCTGTGAGAGAGTGGGCAGCTTGCATCAGTCAGCCCCTTGAATCAAGAGGCAGTTCTCTGGGAGAAACAAAAACATCAAAGGCCCTTGCTTCTATTTACTTGGCTTTTGCTTGTTTTCACTAAGACATTTGGAAACTGGGTGCCAGGTTGCATCCTGCATGGCGGTCCATCTGGCGGGGGCCTGAGCTTGCGGGCGTGGAGTGGGATTGCCATGGTTTTGAGGTATCAAGCCTATATGCAATTGTATGTATGCCACGGGATGGATGTGTCTGTGCTTCCAAGTCCCTGTGACATATTGGGGCACATGCTCACCACAAAGTTGGTGTTTAACCACCTCCACGTAGTTAAACACATGGATGTCTAAGCGTCCTGAGTTGGAAGATTGGCACCCTGCGTGTTTGCACTGCGATGCCTGGGGGTGCGCTCTCTCATTGCAGGGATGAGCATGTGGATGCGCAGGGCTGAGTGTGGGCACACACATATCCATGGGCTGGTGTGTTGGGTGATGTGCACTGGCTGTCTTTTGGTGGGTTGAGTGTCCTGGAGGGCGACGGTCTGTGCACCAACAGAAGGATGCATGTATACTTACATTTGCATAGGGTGAACTCCAGAAATGAATGCTGGGGAAAAGGTGTTTGATGTCAGGGCATTTTGAACTGTAGGTCATTAGTTTTTCCCCTTTGGTGCCCCTCCCCTGGGAGTTTTGTCCTTGTCTGTAGCTCCCCCCGCATTCACAAGTGGAAGAAAAACATCTCTATATGAGACCCTTTGTTCCTCTATAGGAAGCATTCCTCTGTGCTGGGTTTGCTGCAAGAAGCCTTTGTTCCTATGGTGGCCACAGGCCAGTGGATATGAATTTATGCATCTAATATAACCCCTTGTGGTGAAGGCCTTTGTACTGAAGCTGAGAGATGTGGGAGCCAGGAGGCAGGCTGTGGTCTAACATTCCTTCTGATCCAGCCATTCATGTGCGTTCCTTTGCTTGGAGGATCCCCCAGCTATGGGTCACAGGGCAGCCACGGAAGCTAGGCCCTTGCTGGAACTAGAAAATAAAGCCCTGGGAGGGAGTACTCTGTTTTCTAGGGCCATTAAGGGGTTTGAGCCTACAGGAAGAGGTCCAGAGATGGTTGGGGCGGTTGGGTTTCAACCTAAGGGGGAAGTAGGTAGCAGGGGGGGACCTGAAAAGGTCCCAAATCCAGACAGATGGGCCATCAGGCTAGGGCAGACTATAATCAGGGCACTGCAAGATGAACCAGTTAGTGGCATTTTGTGTGGCTGGGGTGGGGGCTGGGGGGCTTGACGGAAGGCCACATCTGCTATTTCTCAGGGGTAGTTGCCTGGAGCACTGTATTGAGAAGAATTCTCAGGCCAAGTACATCATTATGGGGAAAGATGATGATGGGTATCTGAGTGTCCTATTGCTGCTGTGACCAGTTACAGAAATTTGGTGGCTTGTAACACACAGATTTATTCTCTTCCAATTCTGGAAGTCAGAAGTCCCAACACAGGTCTCGCTGGGCTAAAACCAAGGTGTCAGGAGGACTGCATTCCTTTTGGAGTCTCTGGAGAGGGGAATCCATTTTCTTGCCCATTTCAGATTCTAGCAGCTGATCATATTTCTTGGCGTGTGGCCCCTTCCTCCATCTTCAATGGCCAGTTGAGTGTTTCTCACACTGCATCTCTCTGATACCAGCTCTCCTGTCTCCCTCTCGCACGTAGAGGGAACTTTGTGATTACACTGGGCCCACTCAGATCATCCAGCATCATCTGTCTCAAGATCCTGATATTAGTCACATCTGCTAATTTCCTCTTGCCATGGCACATAACATATTCACAGAATAATCAGAGATTACGACATAGACATCTTGGAGGAGCCATACTCTGCCTACCATAATAGGGATAGATTAGTAATGTTTGCCAAGGCCCTTGTAGGAGTTTGGGGTGATAAGAATGCCAGATGTTCACCATCCCTGGTCTGGTACCTGATTACAGGTGGAGTGGATAAGGGACATCAACAGGCTCGTGGGGGTGGGGCGGGGGACAAGAAGAAAAGGGGCCTGCCATTTATTGAGCCTTTACTCTGTACCACGCACCTGCTCTATGACTCAGACACATGTCTCATTCATTATCAGCACAACTCTTTGGGTGGACAGGTAATTAGTATTTTACAGGGAAGAGTGAAGCCCAGAGAGGTTATGCGACTCACCAAAAGTCACCTAGCTGGTAAATGACAAGGTAGAAATGCAAAACCAAGTGACACGCTAAAGCTGCCCCATGGCTGACTCCGAGGACGGAGCAGCTTCTGACATGGCCACAATATCCTTTAAGATGGAGCCGGTTGCAGGGGCAGTGGTGCTGATGACTGATGACAGAGCCTGACACAGAGCTTTTCTCTGGAGCCCTGCCCACCTTGCAGAGGATCCTCCAGCTTTGCAAGTGGGGTTGAGTGAGAGGCCAGGGCAGGGGGCTTCAGCCCTATCAGCAGAAATGCTAACGGCCTCCCTAGCAAATGGCAGAAAACGCACGCCCAGCATCTCTGAGTGTGACTTTGCGCGAACGTGGTTTGCGTTCCGATTGTCTTTATTACCGACCTTGAGGGGCTGGTGGAGTGAAGCTGGCTGAGAAAAAAAGAGATGTGGGGTGGGAGCTCTGTTTTTTTTTTTTTAATACAGATATTCTAATCGGCACATCAGGACTGTTGGAAATGGAGCAGAAGAGGCCGGCAGGCCGGCTTCCTCCTGCTTTTTGTCTTTTGTGCCATGTGGGACAGCCACACGAGGCAGGTAGGGATGTGGATTTAGGACCCCCTCTGAGCGGAGCCCTGCAGGGGTATGTGCCATGGGCCCCAGACTGGCCGGAGGTCAGAGGGCAGAAGGGAGGGTGGGCTCAGTGCAGTCAAGATGCAGGGCCTGGGGAGCTCACAAGGGTGGGGTTATGTTGGAGTGTATTCTAGGGGCCAGGGTGCTGGTCAGAGGCAAATGTGACAGGATGCCTGTTTAGAAGGAATCATACAACAATTTTCAAATAGCACCTATGCTCTAGGCACGATGCTAGGTGCTTCAGGTATAAAATCATCAATCCTAGTAACAACACCAGCAGATATGTATGATTGATTTCCCCAGTTTACAGCTATGGAACATGAGGCCCAGAAAGGTTAAGTAACTTGCACAAAATCACACAGCTTGAGTGTGACAGAGCCAGGACTCAAACTGAGGTGTAACTTACTCTCTGGCCATGTCTCCTCAAGTACTGCAGGCGGACACTACCCCCCTCCAGCCCAAGCCTCCAGAATTTCTAAAGGATCTACTGCAAGCAGGAGGCAGGGCACCAGGCAAGGTCGGGCCCTTCTGCACAAAGCAGAGGCAGGGTAAGAGATGATGCTTTCCCTCCAGGTCCTTGAACTTGAACTGCTGTAACTGGCTATCCCTGGGTCTGTGGTCTGGACAGTCCCAATACAGTTCCCGTAGCAAACTGCCCTCAGCACATGGAAAACCACAGCCCTGATGGGGCTGAGGCTGAGCATACGCATGCCTGCACACGTATGTGTCTGTCCACCATTGCGGATTCCAGTTGGGATCTGTCGTTGGATTCCCAGTAGGCATGGAGACTCGGGCACCGTGCCTCAATTGGTGCCACCATGGAAGGGTGTGGAACAGCCCTCGGGTCAGACCTAGGGCTAAAGCTGCCCTCTGCTCTCTGAAATGCCCCTGTCCCCTCGATCCCCACCAAGCCGGGAACTTCAGAAACCTACCTGCAATACAAAAATGAGCCTCTGCTGGACGGTTGGTATCCGGCCTCACCGCAGGCAGACCGGCACCATCCTCCATCGCCATTCCGACCGGGAGGCAGGCAGCATGGCCCCTTCTACAGACGAGGAAACTGAGGCGCAGCGAAGTTAAATGACTTGCGTCTGCAACAAGCAAGTGGCAGCACCAGCACCTGCGTCCAGGTGTTCCCGCTCTCGAACCTGGATGCCCATGCACACCTTGCTGTCTCTGAGGCCAGTCCCTCTTGGGGGCTGAGCCCTGACCGCTGACAGGTGTGGAATGCCTGCAGAATCAGACCTCCCGACCCACCCTTTCCTGAAGGGGAGCATGAAGGGGGGCCGAGGAGGTGGGCCCTGGTGGGTGGAGGTGGGGGTGGGCTCTGGCTCTTCCTCCTGTGTCTGCTTCAGGGAATGCTTGGAATCGGAGGGTCACGGAGCGCCTGTCGTGTGCCAGACACAGTGCAGGACTCTCACGTTAATCCCCCCGCACTGCCGCGAGTTAGAGTATTAGTCTCATTTTACAGGAAAATGAGAACCCTGAGAGGCTGAACCATCTAATAGCTTCCCGGGGCGTGTGTGGGGCCGAGGCTCATGTGAGGGAGGCGGCCGGCTTTGCGGCGGTGAGCGGGGCTGGCCAGTGCCTGCGGGGTCCTTCCGGAGCCGTGGCTTCCTTCCTCGGGAATTGTGTGAGCTCCCTGCTCCAGACAGTCGTTATTAAAAATTGAATTCGATCACCTGCCGATGAAATGCCTTGTATTAAAAACAAAGGCAGTAACTCAAAACTCATCACTTGACTCACTTTTTTTTTTTTTTTAAGATTTTATTTATTTATTTGACAGAGAGAGATAGCGAGAGCAGGAACACAAGCAGGGGGAGTGAGGGGGTGGGGAGAAGCAGGCTTCCCGCAGAGCAGGGAGCCCGATGCGGGGCTCGATCCCAGGACCCTGGGACCATGACCCGAGCCGAAGGCAGACGCTTAACGACTGAGCCACCCAGGCGCCCCTAGAATCACTTTCTTAATAACTTTACTACTCCGTATGCACTTGAAGTTATTTACGTCTGTTGTTTCCCTGTGATGGGAATACTATTTAAAATACTACGTAATGGTTAGTTATGCACACCTCTTCCCAATGCCACATTCAAAAGATGTCCCATCGGTAGCTGGACGTGAGCCCACGCGTGAGTATTTATACCGCAGAAACAAGCAAACGGTCCAGATCGGGGCTGGTTTTATTTTTCCTGGACAGCCAGCACACCACTGCCTGATGGGGCTCACCTGTGTCATGTCCCAGGACTGCCCAGTAATGCAGAGGCAGGGGCCCGGGGTCGTGAGTCTGAGTAGCTCAGTCCCCACTGAGGATGGCTCCTCGCTTGGCTGGACGGTAAGCTTTGCCGGCGGCGCTACGATGTGCAGGACAGTCCTGGAGAGCGGTTGCTGATGGGGACCCCTGAGACATCACCAGGGTTTGCTCTTGCCATTCCGCTATGGTTGGCCTTTGGGGGGACAATGGCAACGTCACACACCGTGGCAGTAACACAACTCAACACTTGTACAATTCTTTTTTTTAAGATTTTATTTATTTATTTATTTATTTATTTATTTATTTATTTATTTAACACAGAGAGAGAGAGAGAGAGAGAGAGAGAGAGTATAAGCAGGGGGAGCAGCAGAGGGAGAGGGAGAAGCAGACTCCCCGCTGAGCAGGGAAGCCTGACATGGGGCTCGATCCCAGGACCCTGGGATCATGACCTGAGCTGAAGGCAGATGCTTAACTGACTGAGCCACCCAGGCACTCCTCAACACTTGTACATTTATGAACTAAGTGTAGAGAAATCAGAGAATATGGATAAGTCACAAGGAAATAAAAAATGACCCAAATTTCCACCATCTAGAAATAATTACCTATCTATCTTTCTACATTGCTTGTGAATGCTTTTAAAGGATTATATTACACGTATGTTTTGTAACCGGCCTTTTTGTCATTCAACATTATAAACCTCTTTCCATGTTAATTTGTATGGCATCTGTTTTAGTGGCTGCATAACATTCTATCCTATAAACTATGGATGCCTCCTGTTTTGGGGCATTTAGGTTTATTCCTGTTTTTCTCACATGCACTGTGCTAGAAGGAACATTCTTGTCACTAATCCTTGTATATTTCCTCCAGGTAAATTCTCTAGAGTAAGATTGCTGTGTTAAGGGGTGTAATACATTTCAGTATTTGCATGTAGTCAGTGGGTTAAATGTTCCCTCCACTTTTCCCACTTAATCTGAGATTGAAACAAAGCAGTCTAAAGAATTTTAGAATAAGACTTATCACTCCATTTTTAAAATGGTCTGGAGAGAATATATTGTAAAGAACATTTATAACTCTAAGAAACAAAACAGATGAACATAGGGGAAGGGAAGGAAAAATAAAATAAGACAAACTCAGAGAGGGAGACAAATCATAAGAGATGCCTAACTCTAGGAAACAAACTGAGGGTTGCTGGAGGGGTGGTGGGTGGGGGGATGGGGTAACTGGGTGAGGGCACGTGATGGAATGAGCACTGGGTGTTATATGCAACTGATGAATCACTAAATTCTACCTCTGAAAATAATAATAGACTGTATGTTAATTAAATTGAATTTAAATAAAAATTTTTTAAAATGAACACTTACAGCTTAATAAGAAGATAAACAATATAGTTCAAAATTGGACAAAATATTTGAACAGATATTTGACCAAAGAAAATTTGAATGGCTTATTTGAATGGCAAATAAGCACATAAAAAGACACTCAACATCACTGATAATCAAGGAAATGCAAAATAAAACCATAATGAGATACCTCTACGTACCCACTGGAATACTAAAACACAAAAGTGTGCCAAATACCAAGTGCTGACAAGGATATGAAGCAACTGGAACTTTCTTATGTTGCTGGTGGGAATGTGAAATGAGGCCACGACTCTAAAAAATAGTTGAGCAGTTCTTGCAATGTGAAACATATATTTACCATGTGTTATAGGTTGAATTGTATCCCTCAAAAAGATATGTTGAAGTCCTAACCCCTGGTACCTGTGAATGTGACCTTATTTGCAAATAGGCTCTTTGCAGACATACTCGAGTTCAGATGAGGTCATTAGGGTGGCCCTAATCCAATGTGACCCATGCCCTTCTATAAGAGGAGGGAAGTTTAGACCCAAACACACAGAAGAGAATGCTGTGGGAGGACACAGACAAAGAGGGAAGATGGCCCAGTGAAAATAGAGGCAGAGGCTGGAGTTTTGCTGCCACAAGCCAAGGACTGGAGCTGGGGCTTCCAGAAGCTGGAAGAGACAAGAAAGACCCCTCTCCCAGAGGGTTCTGAGGGAGCAGGGCCCTGCCAACACCTGGATTTCGGATTTCTAACCTACAGCACCGCGAGACAATAGATTGCTGTTGTTTTAAGCCACCCAATTGGCGGTACTTTGTACGACAGCCCTAGGTAAATATATATGCACGTGACCCAGAACTTCCCTGCCTAGGCATTTAACTAAGAGAAATGGAAATGCAGAGTTACACCAAAGCCTTCTTTACCTATGAGCATGGCAGTTATTCACAATAGCCCCGAACTAGAAACAATCCAAATATCCAACAAGTAATGGATATGCAAATTGTGCGGGCCATACAATAGAACACTCCCCACCAATTAAAAGGAATGAACTACCAATGCACGTGCCAACATGAACGAATCTCAGAAAACACGCTGGATGATAGAAGCCAAACAACAAGACTACCTACAGAATCATCCCATCCATGTGAAATGTTAGAAAAGACACATTTAATCCTTAGTGTCCAAAAGCAGAAGGTGGAGCTTTAGGGTGAGGGAAGTGTCTATACCTTGAGTGGGGTGATGGTTAGAGTGTCACGTTTCAAAAACTCATTGACCTGAACCCTTCCAGTGGGTGCGTTTTATTCTATGTACCTAAACTTTCTCAATAAAGTTGGCCTGAAGTGGGAGAGCTATTTGCCCAGGGTCACGCAGTTCTGATGGCCAAGACTGAGCGTGAGTCCCATTATCTGCTTCTTCGTTCAAGACAGCTCTTAGGAGACAAAAACCATCCCACCAGGTTTGCTGTGCAAGGCCCTTAGGTGTGCTACACAGAGCCTCTTGACACACTTGAAGAGCCTTTCCCTGGAAGGCGTTCTTCACAGCTCATCGGGGAGGGTGTCTTTTCTCAAGGGTCCTGTAAGAGCACAGAGATTAAGTAAGGGCCTGACTCAAGCATTTTCAACCTGCCAGGCCCCCCCGGGGGAAGAGAGGCCCAGGTGCACTTCCCTGGGGGACAGCGGGATGGGAACGCCGGGTCGCGTACTGCACGGTGGGACACGTGACGTGGCATGTACGCAGGACGTGCTCAAGGGAATATCCTTCGCCACACACGTCAGCAGGTCATGGTGACTGCTGACTGTCCGTGAGCTCCTGCTGAGGACTACTGCTGAGAGGCAGGACCGCTGAGAGGTCAAGAACCCCCTTTCCCCTGACGCTTGTGGGGCCTCAGTTTCCTCATCTGTAAAGGGAGCATTTGATACTGCTTTGAAATTTCACGGAGAAGGAAGTGCCATTAATATATGTGAAGCACTTAGCACCTTGTGGCCAAGGTAAAAAGCTCAGTGTGTGGGAAGTGGTTCTCTCATTTGAGTTATGATTACCCATCCTGCTTCACCGAAGAGTCTGCGGACGATCCAAGTGAAAAATTGAGGCGGGTAGCCCGGCTGGTTATCCACTTTAGCCTTCAGAGCAAAGACAGGGCAGATGGTGGCTTTGACAGATGGCATCTGTTTCTCAAAACCATTTCTGGCAAGATGAGTCACAAAGCGTAACAGGGTATGTCTTCTTTCTGACCTAGAAGGATGAGTATCTAGTTAGGCTGGATCCTGGAGGACGTTGGGTGCCAGGGTAAGGAGTTTGTTTTGTATTCCATGTACTGTGTTGTCATGGTGGACCACAGAACATCCTGGAGCAAAGAGGGACCTGACAAAGATGAATCTAGGATATTAACCAATTAAATGAATCTTACTGGGAAAAATGCAGTTTGTGTCCCTATGATTCCAGCTCACGGAGGCCATCATCCAGAGTCTGTACCAGGGCTGGGGGCTCTGGTAGGGAGTGCTTGGAGGGATCTTGGCTTGGTACCAGCACCCTTAGGACCAGCTTCCTCCTGGGGGCCGCTCTGGCCTGAGCAGGCACTATTGAGCCACAGGATGGGTTTCTGGTAGAGGTCTGGGTCAAGGAAGCCCCAATCCCAGGCCCTCTGCAAGAGTGCTGAGGAAACAGGCCAAGGGTCAGCAGTGAGGGATGTGTACCTGGACATCTCTCTGAATCAACCATGATATGAGTGAGAGACCGAAGCTTTCCGCAGACGCTGAGCATCCTCAACTGGATACGCTTGGATTTGTAGACAGAGAATTATTGATTTTCCTCTCCTTCCTTTTTTTCTCTTTCTTCCTTAGCTTCTCAAGGACTACATGTGTACAACAACCAACAACACAGGAGCATATGGGGTATGAAAGCAAAAGCATGACTTCAACCTCCATGCTTGCCCTGAATGCCCTTCCCCCCTGCCAGGAGGTAACCACTGTTAACAGTTTGGTGTGCAGCTCATGCATTTACATGCATATATGTCCATATCCAACTATAGAGCTTTGTTAGCATAAATGGAACCATCCCATACAGAGCGTTCTCCACCTTGCTTTTTCACTTGGCAGCTTTCCATGGCAGCACATATAAATTCACTTCTTTCCTTCTAATGGAGGCAAAGTGTTTCATACTTTGCATGGGCTATAATTTCTTTAACTAGCTTCCTGCTGCTGAGTATTTATGCCATTCCCACCTTTTTTGAGACTACAAAGCATTGGTTTTTATTTGCAGAGCTCTGGAGAAGGCAGAAGGCTGCCCGGCATTGAACCCTCGCTCACTGAACAATGCAGCTTCGCAATCATCATCCTTGTTTCCACACTCTGCTTTGGGCTCCCCCTTCACCTCAGCCTCTCCTGCCCTCAGCCTTAATAACATGTGACACTTGGCACCAGAACGACAGAACCATGGAGGAGCTCCACTCTGTCTCTGATGCGCTGTGTTTCTTTAAGTGCTCTTGTTAATGTTTCATGATGGATGGCGGTGAGACCTGGGAAATGTACCAGCCTGGATTCTTCAAGTATCTGCTTGTGCTAACTTAATGTATTCATTTATTCAGCGTGACAGTAACAGGGGGGAAAAAGTACTGTGAATGCAGAGGCGAGCTCCAAAGGGAGGTAAAGGAGGACAAGAGGGAGAACATTAACATTTATTAGGCCCCTACTAAGTGCCAGACATTTTAGATGTGTGCACTCATGAATATTCCTCATGTACCCAGGACGTTGTTGTTGGTATCCTCATTTTGCAGATGATGAAACTGAGGTGCAGCCATTTGCCCAAAGACATGCAGACAGGCAGAGCTGGGATTCAAACCCAGAAGTGCCTTGCATCAAAACCTCATGCTTTTCCCATCTGACTCTGCCATCCTGGTTGCCCTGTTATTGGAAGACATCAGAGATAATGAGGCATGACAATAACAGCTAACACTTACCGGGCGCTTACTATGTGCCGGGCACCAGTCTAAGCTCACAAGGCATATGAGCACATTTATAATCGTGTGAGGGAGTGAACCCGTGTTATGCCCATTTTACAGATGAGGAACACAGGCTTAGAGATCTCACATAACTTGCCTGTGGTAACACAGTCCTAGCTGGCAGAGCTGGGACTCGAACCAGAGCAGGCTGGCCCCAGGCCCCTTGGGCAGAGCCACTTTACTTTCTTGCTTCTCGCCTGGATGACCCGACAGGACAGAACTTTAGGGGGGACTGCAAAGGTCAGATGGCAGCTTCGCACTCCTCTGGGCCACTGGCTGGAGAGGAATATTGTCCAGCTGCTTTCTCGGTTTCCAAGGAGTCAGGAGTCTGGTGGGGAGGCGGGGGGGTTACCTTGAGAAGACTTTTCTGAATGGGAGCTCGGCGGCTCAGGGGCCTTGCTGCACTGTGGTTATCTTACCACACGGTTTCCAGCTAAGCTTCCCTCGAAATAGTAAACAAGTGACAAAATGCAGAGCACAGAGGGACAGTGCGGAGGCTCCGCATTTCCAGGGAGAAAGGCTGCAGGAGATATAGGGCCAGTTCTCAGTGGCGAAGGTCCATCCCCCATCTCGGAGAGAGTCCGTCTCACTTGCTTTCATGGAGCTTTGTGCTCTACTGGACTCTCCAGCTCAGCACTGGTCTGGTGGAGGGACCAGAAAATGCCAAGCCCCTGAGATGGGAGGCAGCTTGATGTGCTTGAGGAACAGAAAGAAGGTCCCTATGGTGAGTGAGGTGCTGTGAGCAAGGGAGAGGTGACTGACGAGAGGGGGAGAGGGGGCCTGGAGCCAGACTGTGATGAGACTTGCAGGTTGGGGTTTCCCTCCAAGTTGGAAGGGAAGCCATTGGTGGTGGGGGGTCGGGGGTGAGGACTGGGGATATAAATCTGACTATAAAAACCCCTGAGAAATTCTAACAAGTATGAGTGGAATAGAGTAGGGCCACGGGCTCAACCTGGCCTTCTAATATTTAGAGTCAGAAAAAGCAGGAGAGTCTAGGGTAGATTAGAAAGGCTACCATCATGGCTACTCCTTTTTGAGCATATAACTTACATAAGTTACTTACTTACAGAAGTATATTTTTGATTTGTTTGTTTGTACTTCTCAATACAACTGAGCAGGCAGCCCTTGTTTTACACGTCTAATATACAAAAAAAGCACCAAAAAAGTGTGTGGTTCAGAGAAGGTAGGTATGGTGCTGAGGATTTGAACTCAAGGTAACTTTCAATGTCTGTGTTCTTTTGATGATGCCCCATCCAGGGCTGGGATCTTCAAGTGGATTCTGTATTTTAGAGAAATGTGCCTATGTCTGAATTGTTGCCCATTTCCCACCATCCTGTGCTGCCCACTTCCTTAGGCTGTCTGAAAGCACTCCAACCCTATATCCTGAAAGGGCCAGGAACACATGAGTTATTTATTTATTTATTTATTTATTTATTTATTTATTTATTTATTTATTCGAGACAGAGAGAATGAGAGAGAGAGAATACATGAGAGGGGGGAGGGTCAGAGGGAGAAGCAGGCTCCCCGCCAAGCAGGGAGCCCGATGCGGGACTCGATCCAGGGACTCCAGGATCATGACCTGAGCCGAAGGCAGTCGCTTAACCAACTGAGCCACCCAGGCGCCCTGGAACACATGAGTTAGTGACAGCAGACAGGTTAGACCAGATGGGGAGGACCTTGGGGAAAAGACTGTGTTTATGTCCTTCACCACCCAGGCAAGGCTCATCTGCTGCCCTGGGCTCCAGGCCCCTATGTAGGCAGGAAGTGAGACGGGAGGAAGAGCTGGATGTCTCAAGAGGATTGGACAAACAACAGGTCCAAGCAATGAGATCTCCCCAGAAAGAGAAGCCTGGGGTGACAGATAGGAGCAGCTTTCTGGATACATCATTAGATCAAAGACAGAAGCACTGGGTGACAGAGACCCATATTAGATCTGGGGCATAGTTGGGGACCTGGAAACACAGCCCAACATCAGGTATTGTTAATAATGAAAGCTACTACTGTATATCAAGCACTTTGTGCCAGGTACTGTGCTAAGGACTTTTATATGTACTACTGACATTTAGTCCCAAACGAGAACAGCTTTTACTCTGCTAGACATTATACACTTATGAACTCACTTACTTTTCACAAGTCTATGAGGCAGGTACTATTATTATTCCATTTTACAACTTAAGAAACTGAAGCACCAAGAGTTTAAATAAGTTGCCCAAGGTCACATGCTAATAAATGGCAGAACCAGAATTTGAACCTAGGCTGTCTGGCTTGAGTTGAGGCTTTTAACCACTGCTCTATAGTGAGCACTTCACACATAGAAACTCATTTCATCGCCATGACAACCACATAGGTACCATTTTTATCTCCACTTCACATACGAGGAAAGTGAGTCTTAGAAGGCTGTGTGATTTGTTCCAGGCTAAGTAGCTGGGAGGCAGGGGAGCTGGATTATAGACACTGCAAGTCCAAACTTTGAACCACCAGCCATGGCACCAAGTCCATGCCACTTGGCCGGAGGTGGAGCCGGCAAAGAGGAGGCTTCGTGCTGAGCCCTTTGAGTATGGAAGTCAATGTCCCTGAATCCCTTACTGAGAATCAGATGGGCTCTAACACTGATGAGCCCAGCGCTGTGCAGAAGCAGGCTCTTGCTGGCTCACAAGAGCTAATCGCACACATTCTTTCCAGCTCTGCATTCACTGACATCATGTTGGTTGCTTGAAATCAGCTATAGTGGGAGTGATCACACCATGGAAATCAGCAAGGGCTACAAATCAGGGATTATTTTTTCTCAGAGAGCTGATGTACCAGAATACCACTGATTAGACTTGAGCTGACATTTACAATCAGATGCACTCCACTGGGGCCAGAGGAGGGTTGGGGAGTCAGAAAACCAGGTACATCTCTCTGCTGGCCTTGGGGGGAGACAGAAATCTGTAAAAACATTCTACAAACGCATACTTAGCAGTTCAAGTATGCTCTACTGTCATAAGATTGGCTCTGGAAATGTATCAGTGACTTCAATAAACATGTGTCTGATCTTGTGAACCTTATAGTCCAGTAGGTAAGATGGATAACAAAAATATATATAAAAGTGTACATTTTCAAGTTGTGACATTATGAAGGGAACAGGAGAATCTAGTTGTATAAGTAGGTAAGGAAGGTGACTATAAGGGGTTGACCTTTAAACCAGAGATCTTCAGGATGAAAAGGAGCCACCAAACCCAGGAGATGGAGGAATGTGTGTGAAGTTCAGGTGCTGGGAAGAAGCTTGGCAGACGTTGGAGGCCAGTTCAGTGCAGTGGGTGGTGGGCAAGGGAGAAAAGGAGCACAAGATATGACTAGATGGGGTCCTGTGGGCCACGGGAAGGGGTGTGGTGCAGTGGGAAGCTACTGGAGAAGGGCTTTAAGTGGGAGTTAGCAGGGTCAGGGAAGGTAACGTGCTTTGATTTCTGATGATGAAAGATGACTTTGGCGTGGGTATGGAAAGTGGACTGGTAGGGGGGTGGTCAGAGCAGAAGCAGGGAGATCTCTTAAGAGGAAATTGCAGGAATTCGGGCAAGAGATGATGGTGGCCTGGACTACATGGAAACACATTTGAGATCTGTTTTAGGAGGTAGAATCAATAGAACAAGCTGATGGATTGATATGGCCTCTAAGGCAAGAAAGAAGGTAGGATCAAGGATGTATCCCTAGTCTAGAGCTCAGTTTCTTTGAGACATTGAAGACAAGAGGCCTGAACCAAATTCCCTGAGTTCAAATCCAGACTACACCTCTTACTAGCCCTGTAGCCCCAGCAAGTGACTTATTAGCCCCATTTCCCCATCAATAAGATAGAGTTCTTAACTCACAAGGTTGTTGTGAAGTTTCAATGAGTTATTTTGTATTAAGTGCTTAGTATAATACCTGAATATAGTAAGCACTACACCAAAAAAGAGAATTATTGTCATTGTTATTAGTCTATCGATAATTTCTCTGTCTGCCATTAAGAGATTGAGTCTTTCAAGGCAAACAACTCTTGTTTGGAAAGAAAATGTTCTGGAGAGAATACTGCAGGCGTCCCTCTTTCCCTGTTTGTGTTCCCTTCCTCTGCATGAGTTTGGCAGGCAAAGCTGTGCAAAATAAACACAGGTCCAGTGTCCCAGAAAATATCAGGTTCAACATCACAGCAAAGGCCAGACACACCCCCCTGCTGGAAAGGAGGAAACAGACTTGCTTTATGCTGACCTGGCCGGGTCACTGCGTCCCAGGGGCTGGCCGAGCAAGGTGGACCACCCCGGCAGGTGGGGCCTCTGTGTGCAACCTCACCACCTGTGTCGTCTGCTCCCTTTTCTGGTGTGGCTTGGGGTGAGTCATCGCTATCATTCACCACTTCCTGCCCTGGACATTATGATTCACAGGCTTTTGAACTTGACATCCAGGCAGCAACAAGAGGTGGGGTTGGGAAGAAAGCAAGGATCAAGGATCAGTGAGAGAGGGAACACAAGCAGGGGGAGTGGGAGAGGGAGAAGCAGGCTTCCCACTGAGCAGG